TTATTATTATTATTATTATTATTATTATTATTATTATTATTATTATTATTATTATTTTCATTCTTCTTCAAGCAACCCATAAAGATCACCAAAGGGGAAGAGCACCTTGTATCACTGATCAAAGGATTTGCAAAAAACAAACAAAAAAAAAAAACCCTCCCTTTCAGTGGCCAATGTCAGAAGAAACCCACTTGAACAGGGGGTTGCTAGTGCATTTAAAAAAAATTGTGTAGAAACAAAAGTTTTATTCTACTATTGCAGAAGTATTGCATAACTGAGTTTTCAAATGTTAGGTCTAGCACCTCTCCACTCATTTCGCTTATTTAGGAAAATGAAGCAAATACATTACTTTGTCTACACTGCAGGAGAATTCAAACTCAGGAGCAAACAAACCAAATCTCCCCCCCACCCCACCCCACGTGCTCTATCAGAATCCAGCAAGGACACACTAGAAAACTTAAAGCAAGTCTGCCACCAAGTGTCATAAAAGAGAAAAACAAAAAGAAAGTGTCTAAAAGCAATAGCAAAAAATACCAAGTGGTTTATTATTCAAGCACTGAGCTAATGAAGAAACACAATTCTCTGAGTCTGTTCACAATCAGAATCGGCTGGAACTTCACCTTTTGCAATGTTGGCCTTTATCTGCCTGCTTCTCCGTACAGGACTTCTTTCTCATCTCTTCTTAATTGCCTTTTCTTTCTCCGCAGCACCCAGACAATTTTTTCTGCTATTGGTGCCTTTTGCTGCCTGCTCTAAATTTCACCTTCAGATGTCGACAAATTTCAGGACGGGTTCCACTCTCTCTGTCCAAGAAGGCACTACCCACAACTCTTTGACATCTCTCAAAAAACTGTTCTCCACGAAAACTGCTCCTCATTTCCACAGCCTCACATTTCCTACGCCACTGCCTCCCTGTTCTGTCTAACCTGTGCTGCTCATTATGGAGCCCTCCCCTTTCCCTTCATTTATCTTATCTAAATAAGAAGCCTTCTGAATCTGGGCCCTTGCCTCTTCTTCTCAGTTCTGTTCAGAATGTCTCCGTTGGGACAAAATAAAAGTTAAAACAACAGTGATGATGGCAAAAACACCATTTTTAATCAGCGGAAAGAAATTTGTTAACGTGAGAGGGAAGGAGAAAGTATGGAGAAGAAGAAAGCCCAAATCCAGTAAAAAATGAATGCATTTGAAAAATCTGAATTATATTAACAGTAAACTATTTAGAACAGGGGTGTCAAACATGTGGCCCGGGGGCCAGATCAGGCCCCCAGAGGGCTTTTATCAGGCCCGCAGTGGAACTGGCTGTCTTCTGCTTCTTCTTCCAGTTCCGCTGCTGCTGCATCATCGAAGGTTTGCAGTTTACAGATACACACCTGAACAGTATACTCAGGATTGCAACAGTACAGACATTTTGATGCAATAATTCAGAGCAAGAGGTGTCAGTTATCAGACACTGTTAAATATACAAAATATTGCAAGACTGCTAATGTTTTAAGCATGCTTTTATTTTAAGTTTTAAAAAAAAAACCCTTTGTGCTTATGTCCTCTATAAAGTTTATATCTCCGCTCCCTGGCATTACCTTTTACTACACACATGGCCTGGCCTAACAAGGTCTCATTTATGTCAGATCCGGCCCTCATAGCAAATGAGTCTGACGCCCTGATTTAGAAAGTGTGGCAAATGAATGCAAACCAGAAGTGCTGTATTCATACCTGATCTTTACTAGTTAAGCCAATGTGCATAACCAGATAAAAATGCACTAGGAAGTCAGGATTTGGCACAACATCTTGGCGCCTGGTCATCATGGCACATATTAACTTATATGCATGTAGCTTCCCTTCCTTATATTCATCTGGTAAAGTTGTAGCCTGAAAAACATAATATGTCAATAAATGTGCTTGAACTGCTAAGTAATCAGAAGATAAATATAAATTAAAAACACATGGAGCTGCGGCGATTCTAATATGATTTCATTGTACGAAGTCTGAGTTCCAGGGGCACTTTTAAGACCAATAAAGTTTAATTCTGGGTATAAGCTTTCGTGTGCAGGCACACTTCCTCAGATACATTGAAACAGACATCCTCAAGCCTTATGTATAGGGAGAAGGGGGGTTAACTACCAGAAAGGGCTAGTTAGATAGCTGAGCAATAAGTATAGCCAATATCGGATTGAAGCAGTTGGTAATATAAGGAGCTGCGGTGGCTCAAGTGGTTAAGACGCTGAACTGCAGGCTGTGGAAGGTGGGTAGTTCAGCCGTTCGAGACCCGGGTTGCCGCTTGACGGAGTGAGCTCCCGTCTCTAGTTCCAGCTCCTGCCAACCAAGCAGTTCAAAAGCAAGAAATGGCAAGTAGATAAATAGGTACCACTTCGGTGGGAAGGTAACAGTGTTCTGGGTGCCTCGACGTCTAGTCATGCCGGCCGCATGACCACGGAGAAGTCTTCGGACAGCGCTGGCTCTTCGGCTTTGAAACGGAGATGAGCACTGCAACCCTAGAGTCGGATTCGATTGGCTTTCGAGCAAGGAAAACCTTTACCTTTACCTAACATTGTGAATTAGCATACAAATTAGCATACAAATAAAAGAGTTAACAAACAGATTTGAGAACTAAGTTTGAGTCCAGGGGCACCTTTAAGACCAATAAAGTTTAATTCTGGGCATAAGTTTTCATGTGCTTGCACACTTTTTCAGATACAACAAACAAACAAATACCTTTATTGGCATAAAATATTAAACAGTTGCCATAGGGTAAAACAATCCTATAAAATTTGTGAAAAATAGATAACTTCTAAAGCATTACAAAGGTATGTCTATTTGTATGAGCTTAAATTATAGCAATATAAAATTTTTCCCAACCGCAAAACCTAGAATTAAATGATACAAACTCATTGAACTCAATTAGAATGATCAGGGACATTTTTCCGTTTTATAAGACCATAAAAGAACTTGGCAGTCAATTCAATAATCTCCGAATCTCATGAAGTAAGGAGGTAGTGTCGCTTGCTTCCGTCCTGTTGGCATGCTACCTTGCTAAGGGGGACTTCCAGAAATTTCACTCGAATATCATTTTGCAAATTACAACGTAGAAGTACATGCTCAACTGTTTCTATTTCTCTCTTATTGCATCCGCAATATCTAATTGCATAAGGGATTTTCTTATATCTCCCCTCAAGAATAGCAGAGGGGAGAACATTAAACCGTGCTAGCATGTAAGCTCTGCACAATTGCGGTGATATCAGGGAGAAAAAATATTGTGGTGGAGCAGCAGATAGTGGATAGGCCCATCTAACTGAGGAGCACCTACCGGAAGCAAGAGCTCTGAGCTCTTACTTCTTCAGATACATTAAAACAGGCACTACATATAGACAGAGAGGGTGGGGGCTTCGTTGTCAGGAAGGGCTGATTAGAGTAAAGAGGCATAAGTAACTGAGCAGTAAGTATAGCTAAGACTGGGTGAACACAGTTCTTAAAAGTCATTATTTCAGACTATATTCTCAGTGCCACACTGAGCCACTTTGTGAGGATGTTTAATGGCCAGAATTTAGACTCAGATTTCAGGATGAGGGCCTATCTCTGGGCGTTGTCGCTGCCATACTCTTCTTTAAATCCAGGTGAGTCAAGTTTCACGGAAAGGTCAAGGGAAGAGCTAAAGTCGGCCTTTTCTTCATTTATTCATGTATATCAGGGAGGGCAAAGTGTCTAACAAGCTAGAAACCTTTAAAAGGACCAATTCCTCCACAAAATCACTGCAGGTGACAATACTGGCCCCCAATAGTAATTTAGTACTGTGGTCATGTACTGACCTCCTGACCAAAATGCTCAGGGTGATCTTGAGATGGAGAAATGAAATCAGGGAGGCACCCAAAGGAGATGGAGTTGTAATAATGGGTGACTTTGACAATCCTCATATTGACTGGACAAATGTGTGTTCCAATCATACCAAAGAAGTAAAATTTCTAGATACCCTAAACGACTGTGCCCTGTGGGTGTTTTCAGGAAGGGAGGATGTGTAGTTGGGGCAAACAGTGGTAACAAGGGAGGGAGTTCTAGAGACCGCAAAGTAACAAATCCTGGGGACCAGATGGTATCCATCCCAAAGTGCTTAAAGTTCTTCTAAGACATGTAACACATCCCTAAGATCAGCCTCTGTACTGGAGGCCTGGAGAGTGGACAATGTAACACCCATTTTTTTAAAAAAGGGACTTAGTAGGGATCCAGGAAATTACAGCCGTTAGCTCAGTTCCAGGTAAATTGATGGAAAGCATTATTAAAGATAAAATTATCAAGCATATAAATAAAAACTGCCAAATAAAAACCAACAGGGCTTCTGCAAATGTAAGTCTTGTCTCACTAAGCCTTTAGGGTTTTAGAGTTTTTTGATGGGGGCAGTAAACATGAACAGGAATTGAGCTGGTATACATTTTTTTGACTTCAAAAAGGCTTTTGGCGAAGTCCCTTACCAAAGACTCCTGAAAAAAACTTCAGAGTCATGGCCCACAGGATACAAAGACCTCTTATGGATTGAAAACTGGCTAAAAAAATGGAAGCAGAAGGCAGGAATCAATGGTCAGCTCCCCCAGTGGAGGGGTGCAAGCAGCAAAGGTCCCTTAGGATCAGCCTCTTTCAATTTGTTCACAAGTGACCTGGAATTAGGAGTGAGTACTAAGGTGGCCCGGAGCTGCGGTGGCTCAAGTGGTTAAGACGCTGAACTGCAGGCTGTGGAAGGTCAGTAGTTCAGCAGTTCGAGACCCGGGTGCCGCATGACGGAGTGAGCTCCCATCTCTAGTTCCAACTCCTGCCAACCTAGCAGTTCGAAAGCAAGACATTGCAAGTAGATAAATAGGTACCGCTTCGGTGGGAGGGTAACAGCGTCCCGCGCGCCTTGGTGTTTAGTCATGCCGGCTGCATGACCACGGAAATGTCTTCGGACAGCGCTGGCTCTTCGGCTTTGAAACGGAGATGAGCACCACAACCCTAGAGTCGGATTCAACTGGCTTTCGAGCAAGGGAACCTTTACCTTTACTAAGATGGCCAAGTTTGTAGATGACACCAAATTATTTTGAGTGGTAAAGGAAAAAAAAAACAGGTTGCAAAGAGCTCCACAGGGATCTCTCCAAACTAGGGCAATGGGCACTAAAATGGCAGAGCCTCGGTGTGAGCAAGGCAAAAGTGACTTTTTATTGATCAAGACATTTATAGCCCATCTCTCCCTGTGGCTCAAGGCAGCTTACAATAAGAATTCAAAACATTTTCAGTTAAAACTAAAATAAAATTGTTGTTTTGTTGTTGTTCAGTCGCACAGTCGAGTCCGACTCTTCGCGACCCCATGGACCAGATCCCACCAGGCCCTCCTGTCTTCCGCCATCCTCTGAAGCTGGCTCAATTTCATGTTCGTTGCATCTATGACACTGTCTAACCATCTCATCCTTTGCCGTCCCCGTTATCTTTGACCTTCAATCTTTCCCAAATAAAATAAAATAGCAAACCCTAAATCTCTCCTCCTAGCCCCCTTAAAAGACACTTGCCGTTCCAAACCCCTCAAAAACCCTGGGAAACAGGCAGGCCTTGCAGTGCCTCTTGAAGATCTCCAGTGAGCCCCCCCCCCCAGAGCTAGACCCCCAATGGAAAAGGCCTGGGTTGTGGTTGATGCCAGACAGGCCACCATCAGTGGTGGGCTACCCTACAGATGGATGCATCTGAAGGCTTGAATAATGGAATACAGACCTGGGTGTCACCTGCATATTGATGATCCAACTCCAAAGCCAACAGGTAGATGTATCTGGAGGCCTGTTTATGGCCCCAGTCCTCCCATCATTCCATGCTGCTACAAGGGCCTCCACAGAATCACTGGGGAGCAGTGTTCCCTCTAAGCTGAGTTAGTGTGAGCTAGCTCACAGTTTTTTAGCCTCCGGCTCACACATTTTTGTCTTCGCTGGGGAAGGAGGGCTCCAGAGCAAACTAATTGATGCAGCAGCCAAATCCCTCGCTCACATCTTTCATGCTAGTAGCTCACAAAGTAGATTTTTTGCTCACAAGACTCCACAGCTTAGAGGGACCATTGTTGGGGAGGCTCTCAAAATCCTCCAGAGCCATCTGGAAACCAACAAGTTCCATTCATCTCCCAGGGTACGTCGTTCTAATCAATCCACTGCCTCTGCAGGGAGGAGGTAGCAAGCTCAACTGTGCCTTCGGTAGATAGTGACCTGACCACGACAAAGGCTGAACCTCCAGCCCCCTAATCAGACCACCAGCAAGCTGCACGGTGCAGAAAAGAAGGCCCAGAGTATGTCCTTTTTTCATGTGCTGGGCCCAGTGCAATCTAAGGCAGACACTCGGTTGTCATGGAGGCCGTGAAGTCCTAAGCTTGACCCGACAAGGCAGCCTCAGCATGCGTGCTGAAATGCCTAAGGACAATCATCCCTGGGGTCCTCAGCACCAAGTGTGACATCGCCTCAGTTGGTTCAGCCAGGGATGCTGTCATGCTCCGGGTCATCTCCAGGTCCAGAAAACCCAGTCGCCGTGTTGACCTCTAATGGAGGAAACGAGTACCTCAGATTTGGAGGTGCTGGGGGTTACGTCGCACCCCAGCTACCTTCCTCAGACCGACTTCCTTTCTATCTGTGTTGCTTCTGAGATCAGTCCTCAATCCTCCCTGGCACTCTTCAGTTTCCTCCTTTATATAGCCCCTCTCCTTCCCTTAATGCCACCCCTTTTGGTGATTAAGAATCCTATAGGCTGTATCACCTGTCCATCACCGTGCTCTCCTATCCTCTGTTACTTCCTCCTCTGTAGGCCCGCCCTCCTGTATAACTAGTGCTTCTATCTCATAGCCGTATATGTGAGGGAGTGCCCACTTCCGGTTTGTGCGACAGGTCCAACGCCGGCGTCCTCGGCGTCAGCACTTCTCCTGGGTAAGGCTGGAACCTGCCATCTATCTCGCTCCCTCAACCGGGCCCTCCCCCCTTCGCGTCCCGTGCTCATCCGAACGCGGTCCGTGCCGGTCCCTTCCCCAACGCGGTCTGTGCCATTCCGTTCTCCCAACCCCTTCCCCTCTGGATTTCTTCAGCCCCGTTGTGGGCGCTGAGGGAGGGGCTTGGGGTCTCAGGGGGCTCCGAGCCCACCACTCTTCCTTGGGACCTGCGGGGAGCTCGGCGCGGGTGGCAGATGCATATTGGGGGAAACAATCTCATCTTCACATATAACACTGATGGGACCTAGACTGGCAGCAACAGACCAAGAAAGGGATCCTGGGGTGGTAGCGGATAGCTCAATGAAAATGTCCATTGTTTTGAAAAAAAGGCAAATTCCATGCTGGCCATATTACAGCAGGAATAGAGAATAGAACTGCTGCTCCCATACTGCCCTTATACAAATCTACGGGTGTGCCCACATTTGGAACATTGCATACAGTTCTGGTCACCCCACCTGAAAAGGGACATGGCAGAGCTCGAAAAGAGCGACCAAAATGATCGGGGAGTTGAGCAGCTGTCCTGCTTAGGGCTGTTTAGCTTTTAAAAAGGCAAGTAAGGGGAGACCTGATCGAGGTCCATAAAATTATACATGGTGTGGAGAAAGTAGACAGGGAGAACCTCTCTCATCATAGGAGAACCCGGGATCATCCACTGTGTCAGACGGATCCTATGGAAAGCAAGAGGGAATCCCGAGAACGAGAAGGGGAAGACAGCCATTCGGTCACCACCGGCTATACCAAAACCAAGGAGGGAGGTCGAGCTCAAATACAGACCAGACAGTCATGGAGGAGAAACCGAGAAGAGGACAAGCAACGTGGAGAGGAAGGAAAGGCCCGGCGGGACCCAATAGAGAAGATGCCAGACGACGAGGAGAAAATTCCCTGTGGCTTTAAGTGGGAGGGTTGGAAATTAAGGGGAATAAAGAAGTCCGAAACCTCAACCGGTGAGGAGATGATTAGAGCGAAAGCAAAGACCTAATCAGCTGTGCTGTAACACTGATGGGGAGCTTCCGCTCTAATAAAGGACAGTCACACCCTATTAGGGTTATTATTGTGACTGGTCGACACTCTGAGGCTTGAGAAAACGGACCATGTTCCTCTGTCTACCTCTCCCCCTGATCCACAAGGGCCGGAAAGCGAAGGTCGTGACACACTGAAACTGAAGGGTGGGAGGTTCAGGACAGAAAAAAGGAAGTACTTCTTCACACAGCTCACAGTTAATCTGTGGAACTCGCTGTCACAGGATGGGGTGATGGCCGCCAACCAGGAAGGCTTTACAAAGGGAGTGGACAAACTGACGGAAGATGGGGCCGTCAGTGGGTGCCAGTCATGATGGGTATCTGCTCCCCCCAGTACCAGAGTCTCTGTGCCCCACTGTGTCAGTTGCTAGGCAGCACAGGCGGGAAGATGCTGTTGTGGTCATCCTGCTTGTGGGCTTCCTAGAGCGAGCTGGGTGGCCCCACTGTGGGCAAAAAATGCTGGCCTCGATGGGCCTTTGGTCTGATCCGGCATCGCTCTTCTAGTGTTCTTATTTTTAATAGACAAACGAATTCCAAGTTGAGCCAAGAAGCAAGCATTTCCGTAACATCTTGAATTGTTTCTAATATCTAAGAGGATCCTGGATGGCACTGCAAAAGCTATCTTAGAAGAGGGATTCTGCCTTCTCTCCCACAATGCAAGGAGGGAATCCCTCTTCTAGGATGGGCCGTAACACAACACGTGAAATATTCACTAAAAGAAAGTAGGTGTTTTCGACAGAACGAATCCGATTCTATCCATCCATTGTAAAGCTTTCAAGCTATATAAACAACATTTCTTTAATCAGGAGACATCCCTAGCACAGAAACAACATTTCCTGAGTTAAGCACAGACTGTAAATGGCATAGTAGGTAAAAGATGCAAGGCTTAAAAGCCCAGGGCTTGTTGTAGAGAACAAAGACAAGTTTCTTTCTAGAGCTGCCAACTGGAGAGCTCCAAAATAAGGCACACGTGAAATGTTAATCAAATGATGCATCATGTCAGAAAATTAACAGGGCTGGATTAGAGCATACAGTCTTCGTAATAAGCCAGTTTTTACGGATATGGTACATCTCCTTTCCCATGAGTATGTCTATTAATACTAAATAATTATCAGTTCCTTGAAATAAGGAGTGGAGGACAAGCCTATTTCTTTTTCCGCTTAATAACCGTGTGTTTGTGAAAACTGGTCCATGTAGTCAACAGAATCCAACAACGCCAAGTGAGTACTCTTCCTTCTTCACCAAGGGGAGAAGACTGTTGATGTTGTCACTACCACAAGAATTATCCAAGGAATCGTTTTGTAGTTCAAACTAACGGTAATGCCACAGGTTACTTAAACAACAAGGGGGGTCAAGAACTTTGAGTCGATTTTCTTCCTGCCTGATAGCTTAACCCGGGGAGCAAACAAATAGAAAACTGTTCTAAGCATTACGTCTATTTTCAAAAGGTTTCAATGTCTTTGGACCCTGCGGCTGTATGGTGATGGTAGAGTGGCTGGGTTAGGAACTGGGAGCGCCAGGCTAGTACCTGGGAGGTTCGAATCCCAACTCTGTCACAGACATCTGCTGGGTGACCTTGTGCCAGTCACATACTCTCGGCCTAACATACCTCGCAAGGTTGTTGTGAGGAGAATGATACTGTAAGCCACCTTGGATCCCCGTTGGGGTGAAAGGCAGGGTACAAATCAAGGAAATAAGATAACAAAATATTAGTTCCTGTAGATTTTCCGGGTTGTGCGGCCGTGGTCTTGCCACTGTAGAGCCTGACGTTCTGGCTGTAAAAGCCTTTGACAACATATTAAACAAAATATTGTTCATTTGTCTAAGAGAAGCCAGAGGCAGCAGAGAACCTGCAACTTTCATTTATGACTGAAGCAAAACAGTCCAGCAGCACTTCTCTCAGCTTCTGCCTGTTCCTCTAGCCAGTGGATCTGGGAGCGCTCATGGATTTTAGATGACTGCAGCCGTGAAATCAAGAGACGCCTGCCCCTGGGGAGGAGAGCGATGGCGAACCCAGGCGGCACGACGAAAAGGAGAGACGTCACCCTGCCAACAAAAGTCCGTATGGTCACAGCGAAGGTATTCCCAGTAGTCATGTATGGCTGTGGGAGTTGGACCATAAGGAAGGCCGAGCGCCAAAGAATAGATGCCTTTGAACTATGGTGCTGGAGAAGACTCTTGAGAGTCCCTTGGACTGCAAGGAGATCAGATCAGTCGATCCTAAAAGAAATCAACCCTGGAAGGCCAGAGACTGAAGCTGAAGCTCAACTACTTTGGCCCCCAAATGAGAAGGGAGCACTCACTGGAGAAGACCCTGAGGCTGGGAAAGATTGAAGATAACAGAAGGAGGGGACGGCAAAGGATGAAATGGTTAGACAGTGTCATAGACAGTGTTCCTTCTAAGCTGAGTTAGTGTGAGCTAGCTCACAATGTTTTAGCCTCCAGCTCACACATGTTTGTCTTCGCTCAGGAAGGATGGCTCCAGAGCAAACTAATTTTTGCAGTAACCAAATTGCTCACTCACAACTTTAATGCCAGCAGCTCACAATTATTTTTTTTTGCTCACAAGACTTCACAGCTTACAGGGAGCATGGGTCATAGATGCAACAAACATGAAATTAAGCAAACTCCGGAGCACGACGGAAGACAGGAGGGTCTAGTGTGAGGTGGTCCACAGGGTCGCGAAGAGTCGGACTCGACTGTGCAACTGAACAACCACAATATATATATATTCTCAGATACCCTGCCACCAACTTCTGTCCCCTTCTGTTGCCACCGCTCAGAGCTTTTCTCTAACCAACTGCACCTCTGAGTATGCAGTATTTACTTTACTTATTCATAATGGGAAGTTAGGAACAAAGGAATCTGAAAGGCCCAGCTATTAGATCTACGCAGGATTTGTACAGTCAATATGGCTATGTTTACTGACAGTCAAAGAAGCTGCAGATTAGCACAATAAGAGGTTATTAGCTTGGGGCACAAAAATGCCAGCTCAAAGGCAGACAAAACAGTTCTAAATTCACCCCGAGCAAAGTGCACAAAACGTTTCTGCAAACACCAATTTGCCTAAAACTTTTCAGACTTACTTTGAACAACCATGATGCAAATATTCTGAGTGGCGGAATTAAAACGGGTGGTGAGGGAGTTGACTGGTTGTCCAGACTGATCGCGAGATTGTCTCTTATCTAAATAAAATAAAATCCAAGCAATTAGTCAAACATTCAAAATCTTAAGAAGAGAAAATGAAATACAGTGTTTCTTGCCTTCCCCTTTTGTACGTAAAGTAAAGGCTTCCCGTTTTTTGTTTTTTGGGCTGCCCTCTTGGAAAACCCCAAGGTCAACAGGGGTCTTAAATTAAAGGGAATGTAGCTTGGACCTGAGGCAAGAAGTCACCTGTGCTAGTCACTGGCATGGATCCTGCCTAGAACCTATATGGGTGCAAGGAGGAGGGACACTTTTCACCAATCCCCCTCTCCTGTAGTAGCCCCAACTGCCCCCCCACTGCTCCTGGGTGACCCCCCCGACTGGAATAGCTTAGGCGGGAATCAGAGGTCTCCCACAGGAGGGAGACAGTAAGCAAATGTCACCCCCTCCTCACACTCACAGGATCCAAGTCAGCCTCTTGCTGCACCGGCCTTCATTACTCAGGGTGTCAATGCAAGGCCAGTGTCAGCTATGCTGCCGCCTCTTCCCATATGTTCCCTCAAGAGCACTCCGATCGGGGAATTGCCATCTCCTGGTAGTTCCGGGTCCCCGAGAAGTTAAGTTTGCCACTACTAGGGCCAGGGCATTTTCGGTGGCAGCTCCTACCTGGTGGAATGAGCTCCCAGAGGAGATCCGGGCCCTGCGGGACCTTATCCAGTTCCGCAGGGCCTGTAAGACGGAGCTTTTCCCCCAGGCTTTTGAGTAGGAGTCGCCGCCGCCACTATCCTACCAACGAGATAGTATGTCATCGGCTGCCCTACAAAGGTGGGACAGTTATGCCCAGGCTGAAGTTTGACAGCTTAGCGGGGAGACCGCGTACTGGTAATGGCTGGCCACCAAGTTGGAAGATCGTCTCCACCTTGACTGATGATGTAGTGTTTTAGGTTGCTTACTGTAGTTAATTATTGTATTTTATTGTATTTTAGATTCCGGCTTTGCCGCTTGTGAACCGCCCTGAGCCTTGGGAGGGCAGTATAGAAATCTAATAAATAAATAAATAATAAATAAATTATAGGCCCCGTTCGCTTTCATGACCTGTGTGCCAGTTGCTGCCGCATTCCTTTCTTTTGGCTTCTCCCCCTCGTTATCGCTGACCTTGTAGCCAGCCTGTGTAGTGTCTTCCCATCAATTAACCGTGAGACTAGTTTCGTTTCCCAGCCTCAGCTCTAACTGCCTTGGTCCTCTTTCCTGCCCGCGGGAGTCAGGCCGATCGGCCCATAGGTGTGTGTGTGGGGGGGTGCTTTCGAATATCCTATATCTCTCTCAGCTTTCTATGATGAAGTTATTCCTAACAGTGACTGTGTCCATGCTACCATAGTGCTAACAATAAAGTAAAACCTTCGAAGAAGTGTGTGCCCTGTTGTTTGACTGTGGGTCCTGACAGCCAGTTAAATTTCTCTCCTTGCTGCAGGTTATCTTTCTCCTTCTTCTCTCCACTGTCATGAGAGGGGGCTTGTCATGTAACCGGAGAAGTTGTTATAAAGTCCATTCCTTCTTAAGAAATACGTCCCGACAGATCACCAACCAGGGATATACAACAGAAGGGGGAAAGTGTTTGCTTATTTCAATGACCACTTCCGCACTGTCATCCCCCCCCCAAATGTGTTTTGCTCTCTCTGATAGTCCCAGAGGGAGTCTGCAAAACACATGTGGAAAAGGTGGCAGGGGACGGACCTCAAAGGAACAGGGACCAAACCAGTGACAGAAATGGCCCCGCAGAAGTGGTCAATATCTTATTTGTAGGATTCCTTTAAAACAATCATCATTATCCTATTATTCTATGATCATTACCACGCTGTTCTTCCCTCTCTTAGAAACAGAGGAACAACTGCAGTGATCAGGAGATTTTGAAAGACGCATATTAAAAAATTTGAGTCAGGAGACAGCTGTTAGTTTATTTCGTCTAAGACACGCTTCATCCCAACAGTTTGTCCATTTTAGTGTTGGCCCTCTTGAGCTAAGAGGGAAGGCAGGGTACACACATTTTAATATATAAATTCGTAAGAACTTAAGAAGAGCTTTAAAAAGTGTTAGTCGCTGGTTTTCGGATAAACGAGATAGTTAACGGTGCTGCTTAAGCTATTATTTGAGCACTAAAGGCAGGGCTATTCTTGGGCGGGAACACCCTGGAACGGAGTTCCGGCTGGCTTCGGAGTTGGCCACGCCCACTACAGCCAAAACCTATGCGTGCGTGGCTACAGAGGGAAGGCCCGGAAAGCGACACCCCCCCCGGCGACTCCGAGGCGGGTGGGCCAGGGGGCCCCCCTGGAAGGATCGGGGAAGGGTCGCCTTGCCCGGGCTCCCTGCAGTCAGTTTAAACTGCCTTCCCTTCTCTTCAAGGGGGAGCTTGCCCGGGCTTCCCACAGCCGCGGGGCGCCCGGGCAAGCCAAGGGAAGGCACGGGGTGTGGCCTAATGTGTTAATGAGCTGTGCTGTCAGGGTGTGGCCTAATATGCTCATGAGTTTCTGCTGATGGGTGTGGCCTATTATGCTAATGAGTTCCAGCTGGGCTTTTTCTACAAAAAAAAGCCCTGACTAAAGGTATTAGTGTTGACTTTTAAGGCCTTGAGCGGTCAGGGACCCACATATCTTCAGGACCGCCTCCTCCAATATGTCCCCAGAACACTGAGCGGATAACAACTTACTGGTGATCCCCGGCCCTAAGGAGGTCTGGCTGTCCTCGACTAGGGCCGGGGCCTTTTCGGTCCTGGCCCCGACCTGGTAGAACTCTCTGTCGAATAACAGCAGGGCCCTGTGGGATCTTATGCAATTCCGTGGGGCCTGAAAGGTAGAGCTGTTCCGCCGGGCTTTTAGTTGAGGACAGCAACGGTTAGGACTGGCACCCTCCTTTTCTTCTATGGCCCCCCTGGCCCCTTCCCTGCCCTGCTGCGCAGAGGGCACTGCAGCCAGCAGAGGGGGTTGATCGCCATCTGATTTGGTCGCTTCATTAATGTACAATGATAATTTATTAGGCTGATTGTATTTTAACTGTTTTATCTGTTAGAGGTTGTAAATCGCCCAGAGCCTATTTGCGGGGTTGGGCGATTCATAAATTTAATAAGGTAAAGGTTTCCCTTGCTCGAAAGCCAGTCGAATCCAACTCTAGGGTGCGGTGCTCATCTCCGTTTCCAAGCCGAAGAGCCAGCGCTGCCCGAAGATTTCTCCGTGGTCATGTGGCGGGCATGACTAAACACAAAACGCCGTTACCTTCCCACTGTAGTGGTACCTATTTATCTACTCTTGCTTTCAAACTGCTAGGTTGGCAGGAGCTGGGGCCAGAGATGGGAGCGCACTCCGTCACGCGGCACTCGGGTCTCGAACTGCTGACTACCGACCTTCCGGTCTGCAGTTCAGCGTCTTAACCTCTGAGCCACCGCGGCCCCGTCTAAATTTAAATAATACTAATAACAATATGATTTGGCAAAGCTTTATAGCTGATAAACTGCATTCCACCTTACCTTTGCCAATTTATACCACAGCACGTAAAGATATTCAAAAATTCTGGCATGTATTTTAGGAGACTGAATACTGTTTACATCTCCGAGAATTCCCAATATTCTTCGCCATAATACGGCAGCGGAGTCAGGATGCCACCCAATGAGATTCCCACCAGCAATTATACTGCAGTCATCCGCAAGGAATTCAGTGCTGTCTAAAAGAGGAAACAAGGTGGGAGGGTTTTTTTTGTTAGTTATTAACAAGATGCCTTTAACTAAAAGTTGAAGGCGGCAGGAAAAGAGGAAGACCCAACATCATGATGATATACCTAATACTAGAAAACAATTGATCAACATATTAATAACAGCTGCCAAGGTTACTATAGCCAAATGCTGGAAAGACAATCATCCTCCTAGCATAGAATTTTGGTTTCACAAGATATGGGACTTTTCCATGCTTGAAACGATATCTCTCCTTATATATAATTGAATAGTGGGTGCCAAAGTTCTAATTCTAAAATGCACTCCCTTAGTGTATGGCTGATGGCACTGCTCCTCACCATATATCGCCACCAATCAGAAGGCAAAGCCCGGGTCCCGCCCACACCACAACTGCTGCGACAACCTGGTCTTTTGCATATGGAAGCTGATTGGACTTCACTCCATTCCACACCTCAAACTCCCCCCCCCCACAAGGCAGTTGGAATGTCAGTTGCATATGGAACCTGCTGTATTCTGGTGGTGTGCAGGTCCCAGGTTCATGTTTTAAAAGCAGACTGACACTGTTTGCCCAAAGCCAGAGCACTCTCCCAGAGCCTCTTTCTAGCTCCCGTTGTATTTATTTCCACAACGGGCCTTATTTCTAGTCTGTATATAACTCAAATGACCAGAATGAATGCGAAATATATAATCCCTTAGGAAAACGGTTCCCCATGATAGAAAAAAATAACCTTTGATAACTTTAATTGGGAAAGCATCAATAAAGCTAGATATAAAATAATGATTTACAGTTGACAAGTTTATCACTCTGTATTCCGTATTCCGAAAGAATGTAAGTTGTTATGAGATAGAAACCTTATGGTATTCTTTTTTCTCCTTCTCTAAGTGAAGCAACCTATATTTGTGTATTATCAAGGGTGTAGACTTTCCAATTTCCCAGGGGGGGCTGGGGCTGGGCCAGAGGCATTGCTGTGCTAGGAGCAAGGGTGGCTCCCGGGGGAGGCTGAGCACTTTCCTGAAAATTTCGGCAGGGGCTGAAGCCCCGCCGCCCCCACGAAGATTACGCCTATGTGTATTATAATGTTGAATTCTGTATTCCTTTTGTGGGGGGGAAAGACCCAACATGAGATGGATTGACTCAGTCGAGGAAGCCATGAGGGCCCTCCAATTGCAAGACCTGAACAAGGCTGTGAACGACACGACACGATGGAGGTCATTCATTTTCAGGGTCACCGTAAGTTGGAAGAAACTCGATGTCACATGACACACACAAAACAAGATGTTGAAGGATGTGCAAAGGAAGGAGAAGGAAAAGAGGCTGGATTTATACCCCCGCCCTTCACACGGAGTCTGCGCCTTCTGCAAATTCCAGACCCAATTCAAAACAGTGCCCTCCAGGTCATCCTGGCCAGGCAGTCTATGGTCAACAGTAGAGGAAGAAGAAGAAGAGATTGGATTTATACCCTGCCCTTCACTACCCAAAGGAGTCCCAGAGCGGCTTACATTCTCCTTTCCCTTCCCCTCCCCACAACAGGCACCCGGTGAGGTAGGCGGGGCTGAGAGAGCTCTTTCCAGAACTGCCCTTGAGAGAACACCTCTGAGTGAACCTGTGACTGACCCAAAGTCATACCAGCAGCTGCAAGTGGAGGAGTGGGGGCGCAAATCCGGTTCTCCCAAATTAGGGTCCGTGCACTTAACAACTACAGCAAACTGGCTTGCACATTAAAGAAAACTATGTCTGCTCTACACACGGATGTTTCCTCTGGAATCCCTACATCACTGACGGCTGACTGCCTAGCAATCCTATGTCAAGGGAAGGATTTGCCTTTGCTACAGTTTCTCCAGGGCAGTGCTTTTACTCCTCCTCCACACGGGAATAAATAGCCACCATTAATTTATACAGGAAAAATTAAAGGGGTGGACCTGGAAGCTGCAATAGGTTTGGGACTACCCTTTTTATCTGCCCTTGGTAGCAATGGCCAGTATGAATCAAACCCGAACCTGCATGGGCATAGCTCCATCCTGTGTTCAGTTTCTTGGACATATTGAAGTGGGACAGAATGTTGGGAGCATAGAATGTGTGATGGCAGAGGTCATTTCGGGGGG